CAATGTCTCATATTTCGTCCGATCAAAATAAACACTTCAAGTACTTAGCTGCAACTGCAACCCAGTAGAATTTACATATGCAAATAAAACAAAAGATATTAATAGCTCATAGCAATTTTAATCGATGCTAAAAGAATTAACTAGCATTAGATCACGTCTCTTATGCTTACTCATGTCAACATGCAAAAAACCTCTTAAAACTGCTATGATTGTATAAATATTTTAACGTCTACTTACTGGTACGTACATACTGCACACATATATATATAATTTTTTACATCTAATCAATGGTTGTCTCAGTTGACGGAAGTCCCAAGCAAATAGACGCTGTACATATATGTAGCTTCAATAGTTTTTAATATCTGTTGAATTACATATGGATATTAGGGCGGGTCAATTTTTAAGGGTGATTTTTTATTTTTTGTTTTTGCTATGGGGGTATAGCATAGTAGTATTCCACTTGAAATTCTAAGCAAGTTGCCGAAAAAACATGAGGCAAAAATTACTAAACTCTTTGATTATTAGTTGATGATCAATTTTTGGTATATTATTTTATTTTAGGTATTTCATAGGCTTATTGATCCCTTTTATGTGCAAGAAAACACTGTTCTTCACGTTTTTACCCGACGTTTCGCTAAAATCCTTAGCATCTTCAGGGGTGTTTTATTCTCCTTTTATTTTCACATCAACACACCCCTGAAGATGCTACCATTTTATTAAAACATCTTCACATTATCGCAATTTATGACTCATTTCTAATTTAGAGGAAAATCATGCTGAAAATAAGTAATTTCACCTAGCGAAATCTGTCAATAAACTAAATAGAAATGAGATAATTTTCCATAAATCTAGAACCAAATGAAGAAAAAAAAACTTATCATTTATTTTAGCCCCCACTGTTGAGGAAATTAAGAAAAAAATGCCTAAAGGTATGCAACCATTTTTTTTCTTTAAATCAAGTACAAACCACACACTCGTGCGTACACTCAAAAAAAAGAAACATCGCCCAAAATCACAAAATTTTTTTAATATAAAAATCAATTGAAATCGACTAAAAATATATTTTATTTAAGAATGTATTATTGTTATATTGTAGTTTTTAAAACCAAAAACTTTGCAATAGCACTGCGCAATAAATGAATAATAACTTGTATTAATTGATTAATTCAACAATAATCTTTTAAGCGCTCGGCACTAAAAATAAACTACAAAGCTCTAGTAAGGCGAGATCAACTATATCCGAACTTTTTTAAAATCATCTCTAGTATGTGAATTGCTTAGTTTTGTATTGTTGTCATATATTTAACTATTCAACCTTGATATTTGGCGAAATACTCATATAAAAATACATAGTATTAATAAATTTTATTTCTAAACCTAGTTTAAAACTAGCAGCTAATCGTGGTTGCGCACATTTGATATTATGTACGGCAAGGGAAAAAGTCGTCAATATCGCCCAACAATTAATATGAAGAAAACATCTCCCAAAATCGCCTAAGGCAACTTCTTAAATTTTTACACGCAAACATCCAAAAAAAATTGCCAACTTGGCGCTAAATCGTCCAATCTGGGCACTCTGGTTCTAAAACTGATTTCTCATACAAAAAACACTCCTTTGACCATGTTTTTGAAACAAAAAATTTAATACTTTACTACACTACTTACACTAAAATAACACACTGCTAAGAAAAACTATTTTCGCAATTTGGCTTAAATTGATTTAAGGCCCATGGCTTCTTCGACAAATTTTGCTTAGAATTTTACTAAGAATACTACTAAGCCATACTCGCATAGTAAAACAAAATAACCCGCCCTAATGTACATAAGAATCTGCATACATTTTTATGAAAATATACATTTGTGTGTAAATGTATGTGGGTGTTAATATTGACAGGTTGTCTCCAACTCGATTTCATTTCTCTTTTTATTCAATTTTGCACACTCCATTCAATTTATTATTTCAATTTTTTTTTATTGTTTTCAATTGATTGATCGACATTTAAGCGAGCATTGAATGTTTACAGCTGTGTGTTTTTGAAAGAATAAATTGCTTTATAAATAAAATTTTCGTTGGACGACAAACGATTCTGCTGAGCTTTCATTAGTTAACACACACACAAGAGAAGGCACACTCTCATCCCGAATTTAAGGCATTGAAATTCAAAACTGACAGCATTTGTTTGCATATCAATATGTATGTATGTGTTTATGCATTGCTGGTGCATACAGAAATAAAATATTTTAAATACCATAGCAATGGAAATAGAAATAGAAATAAAATAAGTCGGAATCATGTGTACAATAGTTCAATTTTCTTTTGTGAGCGGAGAATTTTATTCTTAACAAATATTTATCTGTAGATACTTTATTGCGCAAAGTGCCGATGGGTTTGTGAAGCTTATCGAAAAAAGAACAAATCATTTTTTTCATTTAGAAAGAATTTTTTTTTTTGCTATTCGAATAATTTAAGGCGCGCAATGTTTTGATGCAGTTGTATGGCATTTTAATTATTGTTAGTGGTCATTCCAATATTTTTCCGCACAACCCTCTGTGAGCACTTTACACTTTGTGGAGAGAACCTATGTACATAATTCTCATTAAAAAGCCAATTAAAAGTAAAGACCAAATATCTAACATTTTGTGCTAAATAAGGAAACCCATTATTTGCTAACGCCATTCAGCTATCCTCGCTATCCATTCACTCATTGTTCCATTGTTGAATGTCCATCACTGCTGCCCTATTTTAATTCAAATCTCTTTCAGCCGCCTCTTCTTTATTACATTATACTAATATTAGTTTGTTTTCTTATCGTTTATTTGCAGGATATCCACAGCCCACATATCGGTGGCTAAAGGATGGCATACCAATTGGCGATTTTTCTTCCAGCCAATATTATCGGTTGCAAAAAACGAGGCGCGAGGATGCTGGTAGCTATCAGTGCATAGCAAAAAACGATGCTGGTTCGATTTTCAGTGAGAAAATTGACATCGAAGTTGCATGTGAGTAAACAATTCATATGTATGTATGTATATGTAAGTACATGCAAACATAGAAGTATTACTATGTAGAGAAAAGAACTAGAATGACAAATTAAAGACACTTCAGATAATGGTTTTTAATAGCAAACACAATTTAGTTGCAAGTTCGGTTTGATGATGAGCGCACAGCGCGAATGAGTTGGAAGAAAAACTGAAAATTAATAGAGGATTGCAAAATTAGAAATGGCAAGACAATGCAATACAGTACGTTTACGCCTGAATCTTACTGAACCTACTAGGGTGTTGGATTATTCGCCTTCTTCCCCTAACCGGTTTTCGAGTTATTGGAGTGTGGCATATTTTTTAATTCAGAAAAACCCGGATAAACCGGTTTAATTTTACATAGTTTTCTTGCAGTGAAAATGCTTATGTTGGTATGAAATCATGACCAAAACGTGGCTTTTATTTATATAAGAGCAAAACAAGTTAAATTCACATTTTTTTTAATCAAAAGTAAAACAAATAAAAATTAGTGAAAAATTCTTTTTTGGTCTTACTTTAACTGTTTTTTAATATTTTATTGCATTTTTTTATTTTTATCGGGTTTGAATAGTGCTTTCGCCACCGCAGCCGAGTGCATAGAGTTGCCTACTTAATGCCACTCGAGAGGGCTATGGTTAAATTTTTGGTCCCGGCAACATTAAAATTTTTTTTATGAATAGCTGTCGACAAAGCAGACCTACGAGTGTACTTCTGCCATAAAAACGTAAGTGCGCCTGGGCCACACTGGAGAAGTGAAACTTACTTTACATATCTATTTTGTCTCATAACAAATATTCATACTTTTTTTTATACCCGAGCGCACTTGTGCACTAGGGTATTATAACTTTGTTCACATAACGGCTTTTTGTAACAATCAAAACGAATCGTGATAGATATAGACAAATGTATACCTAAATGATCAGAATGAAAAGAGAAGTTGATTACGCCATGTCTGTCTGTCCGTCCGTCTGTCCGTCCGTCCGTGTACACGATAACTCGAGCAAATGTTGAGATATCTCATGGTATGTAGATTGCCCTTTACCCGAGGTAGGTTGGTATTGAAAATGGGCGAAATCGGACAGTAACCACGCCCACTTCCCATATAACGGTAATTTTCAGAAATACGAAAACTGCGATATTTTAGTAACTACTGAAGCTTAAAGGTTACTTCAGAAAACGGCCCTTAGTATAACTGAAGCTACTATGGAAATTGTTAGAAATAGGGGTAAAACCACTCTTCTTGCCATGTAACGGCAGTTTTCAGAAAGGTGAAAAACTATAGCCGTCATCGATTCGCCAACAGTTACCGAGTGGCGAAACGAACGAACTCAATGAGGTACAACCAAACTCGCTATCGTTCATCTTTGCTAGCTAACTTTGTTGTTGCTTTCACATGCAAAATTTTTCGTTACGCGACCGTAACTCAAACATAGCAAGCAGCGAAGTGACGAATCGATGACGGCTTATATTTAATACTTGCGCCGGGTATTTTATAGGGATGTTAATTTTTCGGCTTTTTCCGATCCCGGAATTTTCGGGATGGCGTTGTCACAATCTCGGGAGCCCGGGATTAGTCCAGGGATTTAGATATTCATTACTTTTCAACAACTTGAATCGAAAAAATTGCTTCTATATTGTTTCAGAAGCTCTCCTACCATAAAATAAACAATAAATAAATGGGTTTGAAACCTACTTTTTTATTTAAAGTAGCGTTTTTATTTACTTGTCAAGAATCCCCGGATTTTTGAGACCTAAAAAAGTCCGGGATCCCGGGATTAACATTCCTAGTACACATGTAATTATATTTAAAGCTGTTGAATATTTCCCCAAAACTTTGGCGCTTACATCCATATGTAATTGAGTATCATGTATTACTGTATGAAGATATGGCTTATTTAAGTTGACGCGGCATTCCGGTGTGATCAAATAAACGAGTGAATTTTCCGGCAAAGTTACATTCTTCTTACTTATTATCAAATTAAGGAAGTCTGTGTCTTGGCAATCAAAAGACACTTAATTTAATTAGTACACTCAGCTTAGAGAAACAGACACATGCATACATGCATATACATATACATATTTATGAATTTTTGTACATATGTATGTATATTAATTTATTTCCAAATACATGTAAGTATGTACATTAGAGTGCATCAAGCCCTATACAAAAACGGTACTTTTCCATCAGAAGTATAAAATTTATTAAAATCATTAAGAGCCTACAAATACCGGTTTTTTCATTTTACTTTTTTTAAATATTTTTTCTAAAAATACACCTCAGATAATATGCGGGTTTAAGCTTAAAAGGTCTGCAAAAAATTGTATCAACGGAATCAAAATACATCTTAACATTCATACGAAATATTTTGGCGGAAGTCTTAAAATTTAACGAATTTTAAATTTCCAATGAAAAACCGCAACATTTTTTGGTGATGCATCCTAATGTAAGTACATATATACATATATGTATCGATGTTTGAAAAAAAAATTTCATAAGAGTTGTATTACAATAAAATTAAGACAAACAAACCATGATACGTCTCACAGATGTATGGTTATCTTTTTAGGAACTTTCAGTAGGGTTATCTTTCTAGTGAACAAGTGCCAAATACAAGGGCCCTTTCTACTTCAGCTAAATAATCAAACCAAAATTCCGCCCCTAAAAATAGTATATGTAGGTGAAGAAATTCAGAAGGATGTATTTAAATAAAAAAAATATTTTTAAATTATGATACCGGAAAAAAGTAATTTTTTAAATCTTGCCATGATGCCACCTTGTGCAATATTGAAAAATTACGTTAATTAGACAGGCCTAAAAATTGCACAATTTGTGCTAAAATTGTAGTACTCAGCATGCAATTTTTGAAAGGGTATGTGAAGAATAATTTCACAGATATATTCCTAAAAGCGTATCTTTTGCTCAGAATTTTTTTCTCCCTTTATTGCTTTCATTTGATGTGTCTTCTAACAGAATTTTTTCATGCTTACTTTGAAGTGGCAGCTATGGAAGCGGCGACATTTAATTAATGTAACACTTAAAGTACCATTCGCTGCTTTTTTTTTTAGATTCAGTTTTGTCCTTAACTCTTGCTAGGCTTATCCAATCAACAAGCATCCGCTCACTAGCTGGAGCAATAGCCGCTGACATCGTTTTTCACGCCTACAGAGATGCATTACTTAATTGTCTTAACTTCTTCCTATTACACTTCTTTACTTAATTGACTGACTTTACAGCTCTCTCACTTACACACTTCCACTACTTCTTTTATTTTCAGATATGGGCATCTTCGAGAACACCACACTTGGCCATCTTACGGTGACGTCAGGTCATCCGGCCATTTTCGATTTGCCAACCATCGAGTCACAACCGTCACCTTCGGTCATGTGGCAAACGGTTGAAGGTCCGCTGAACTATGACATCAAATATGCCGTAACCAAATCGAATCAATTGATTATACTCAGCGCCGACGAGGACGATCGTAAAGCATATCGTGCGCGTGCTATAAACACACAGCTGGGGAAGGAGGAGAATAGCGCCTTCATACAGTTGAACGTGAGTGGGGATCCGTATGTTGAGGTGGCACCCGAAATCGTTGTCCATCCACAAGATATGAAAGTGAAGCGTGGCGAGCAGGTGGCCGTGTTGGAGTGCATCGCTAATGCGCGGCCGTTGCATGAATTGGAAACATTGTGGCTAAAGGATGGTATACCCATTGAAAGTGCTGGTGTGGCGCATACACTTAACGATCCTTGGAATCGTTCGCTGTCACTGCTATCCGTTAATTTAACACATTCCGGCGAGTATACGTGTCAGGTGCGACTACGTAGCGGTGGCTATGATACGGTGACCGTTAGCGCCAAGGTGGAGGTATTGGAACCACCTACATTTTTCACACAAATGCGCACGGAAACCTTTGGTGAATTTGGTGCGCTGGTAACGCTGACGTGTGATGTTGTGGGCGATCCAATGCCAGTGGTGAAGTGGTACAAAAATGCCGAACCCATCGAAGCGAATGACGGAAAGTGAGTATTGGGCGAAGGGGACGAGGGAGGGTAAGAATGTATATATTTTATAATAAATGTGCAGTTGTAGTGTAGTGTTGTAGTGAAATTGAAAATTAAGATAAAAATTCCTAAATCTAAATACATTTGAGTAATGTTCTGGCAAGTAATCCCCGAAAATAATGATAGGGACCAACATTTTTTAACAGTTAAACAAAACTAATCGATTATTGAATATGTCTGTATAAATTTGAAATCTAATTTTTCTTTCGTGTATCCCTATTTAGAAGTGGCAAGTGACGACCCCCACAACCAGCTTACGTTGAGGGCATTCCAAGAGATTTATGAAGGGCTTTAGACCTCTCTTTTTCAAACCTGGGCCAGATGCGACTAGCCACTCTACATGTTGGTTCATCCGTCCATCTTTTGTTTTAACAACTCAAGGCGGCCACAGTTTACAAGGTGCTAGCGGTACTTTCGCATCATAGGAAATTTTGTAGCAGAGAAGTATGAGCCTACTATTGCCAAATTCGTTTTCTGCGCATAGCACAGCTCCCTTTATACATAGCTATAGGCCGACTCTACTTGGTCTGACCTCAACATGGTCTGCCTGAAAGATGTTTTCTACCATATTTAGCACCGCGAAAGCTACAAGTTCAAATTCTGTGCGCTTTCATCGCAGTAACAGACTATTTATTGTGACATTCCATAGGGTTGGGACATAATTCCGCCCTGTGGTATGCCTCATATAGCATATCAGCTAAGTGGTGATCCCCCGTCTCTGTCAATACCGTTCTTGTGCCTTGAAAAGCTCGGATAAATCCTACCGAATTTTCCGAAAGATCTGTTTGGAACAGGGGTTTAAGAATGACTTCCGGTACAGCATTACTAAAAGCGCCTTCAATGTCTAAAAAGACAACTACTTTATAATCCGCAGCTTACGAAGGTTCTGTCTTCTTTCGACTAGCAGAAAGAATGCCAGGATGTGGTCTTCGGGGAATTCTGGCTACTCTCCAGTCTCTTTGCGCTCTAACAGAGAGGAAACCTTTACTTGACCAGCGATGGATTTATTACCCGCCAAGGTTTTATGGTCCGAGTTTATGACGCTCTGGGCTGAGAGTCAGCTCTAAAGTTGTTGGGAGCCATTAGCGAGCTTACTTCGTTGGCATTGAAGCCGGCTGCTGTCGACTTTTAGGGTGGAAATGAAAGATCTATTGGCTGTTGTTTGAATACAGTCGGAGGGTCTCCTGACTGCAAAACATGCAATACCGACAGTAACGCAAAATACACTGTATTAGAGGGGGAGAATAGACTCGACATCTTCCAGGTCTACATCCATAGTGGTCGGCGGAAACAGGGTCCGCTATATCTATCTACCGCCTTATTGTGGTATTGGCTAGAAACACAGGTACCCCCTAGTGTTGTTCGACCCCAATGATATTGCTTTTCTACCAAAAAATCTACGACTTTGCGAAAGTTTCGAGATCATTCGCGATGCCTTTTATCAAATCGAATTGCTTGTTAACGATCATAGCTAATTGTGTTCCACACATTGCATTTCCAGATACACATTTCAGGAGGACAATTCACTGATCATCAAAAAGCTTACACTCGAGGACGGAGCCATGTTTCAGTGTCTCGCCAGCAATGAGGCTGGTGAAAGGAGCGCCTCCACTTGGCTGCGTGTTAAATGTGAGTACACTGGAAAACAAAGATACTCCAGAATTTATTGATACAAAGCAAATATGTATATTTTATATATGTATATAAATGAATATTTAATCCAATACAGCATTGAACGTAAGAATGAACTAATTCTGTGTATAAATATATATGTATATATACATATATATAAATTTATCGCAAAATAACTGCTTTTTCGTGCTTAAACATATACTGCTTAAATACCTACATACATACATATATTTCATATATATTTCATATTTATTTCATCTGCTCTCTCTCTCTCTCTCTTTCTCTTCCTCATACAAAACTTGCATACATATGGAAAACTCCAAAAAAAAAAAAAAAAAAAAAAAAACAATTAACTAACCAATTATTTTCAAACATATTTGCTTCATACTAAATGCTCGTACAATCTAAACGTCTATTCCAAACGCATTATTCGCAACGATAAAGGTTTGCCACCCAAAGCACCTACTCCAACTACAACCATTATTACTCATTCGAAGCATATTGAATTGCGCATGACTACAGCTAATAACAATCGACCGAATGCAATTCCGTTGCATTTTGTTGAAAAGCGTAAATCATCGTCGTCATCGTCGTCGTCGTCGCCAGGATACGTGCGCAGTTTGTTGCATCGCTTCAAGCGTTTGGCACAGCCGCGTATCCTGCGTGTAAGAGCATCATCAACGCATTCTGGCATGGGTACTGGCTATCGCCGCAAGGATTTTCGCTTTGGTATGGGCTATTTATCATAAATACTGTTGCACACACAAACATACATACATTGAAATATGCACATGCTTTTTATACATACAAGTTCTTATATACATACATACATACTTACTTTCCTTCATTCGCACGTCTAATTCAGTTAACTACAATACTCGTAGCAGCTTGTTCATGTTTTTTAAAACTTTTTTTTGATCTGTTTGCTTTGTTCGCCAATAATGGCAGTTTTCTATTTCACTGTAGTTTTAGTGGGGATATTGATTGCAATGTTGCATGCACTGTATTGCATAGGGAGGTTGAAAAAATTAACAATTTTGTGGTTTAATGAAATTAAAAAAGGTCACAAGCCACTTCTTTTAAATGTAGCACTTAAAAATAGTTTGAAAACTTACTCTATTTTTCCGAAATTGTCTTATCGAGGTATTTAGCATCAGTGTGTGATGTGTCATCACAGCAGATGGACAATGGTGGCTATATTCCGCGATCAAAAAATTTTTTTTTGATAGAAATCGATTGAGCAGCGACTGAACTACACGCATTTTATAATAAACGCGTGGTGCAAGGCCCATTTACCAAAATTTTATAAAAATCCAACATCCTGGCAAAGAAGTGATCCGTAATATGCGTGCTGTGTGGGGTTATGGTTTGATATTGTCCAGGTTTTGTCAAGAATTCCTTAGACTTAGACTCCGCCGAACCGGAGCATAAGTTCCGTGGATGGTATATCGAGAAATATTACCATTATCGATCAATTTTTGACACATGGAGGTAAATTTAGGCATTACTTTCACATTTCTGAAGCCGAAAAAACTACATTCAAATCCGAAGAAAAGACAGACTCGACGCTGAAATTTATGCTGAATTGGATGATGGCTTGCTCGAATTTTTTTTGCAAAATTCCAACCTAAAGACTTATGATGGGCCTCAATTAGCTCCTAATCTGGAAGTCTCAAACTCAGTTTTAATTGTAAGAAAAAAATCCTGGCGAAATTGTATTCGTTCCATATAGGCATATAATATTATTTGAATTCTGTAAAGGCCAATTCATACAAGGTGATAGCGGCAGAACAAAAACCAAATAAAACTATGCTAACAAATTATACGGATGACGACAATCAGAACACAACATTATTTTGGCAATCAGCACAATTCGCCTCGAAATCAGCTGTTTCGGTAACACCACCTTGTATGAATTCGCCTTAAATTGTGTCATAATTTTTCAAAAGATTTAAAATGTCATTTTCACAGCACAGTGATTAAGCACACATTTTTGCCGCAAGTTTTCCAACAAAATGTTAAAACGACTCCAACGCGTAACGCACGGTTTTACATTAGACAAANTTTAGTCGGATCAGCGAGCGCCAAGCGAAAACACCGACATGAAAAGTTGTAAGAAGTGAACCGCAGTTGGCCAAAGTAGATTTTTTAACTGGCTGAGTGCAAACTCTCGCGTCTGGCAGGAATTCTGAATGGGATATAATGTGGAACAATTTTCCGTCATCCCTTGTCAAATTTGGCTTGGAGACAAACCGGTTTCGGCGTTGTGCCATCTTCAGTGTAATTTTTCGTTCTCGAGAAGATGGCACAACGCCGAAACCGGTTTGTCTCCAAGCCAAATTTGACAAGGGATGACGGAAAATTGTTCCACATTATATCCCATTCAGAATTCCTGCCAGACGCGAGAGTTTGCACTCAGCCAGTTAAAAAATCTACTTTGGCCAACTGCGGTTCACTTCTTACAACTTTTCATGTCGGTGTTTTCGCTTGGCGCTCGCTGATCCGACTAAATGCCCATATTGTCAGAAATATCTGCGAGGATACAACGCCAAGCATAGCTGTAGGCGTTAGATTAAAACTAGTCCGGAGCATCCCGCTGGATTCAAGACGGGCAGCTCTTACATCTTTCTAACGCTTTTCTTTGCATTCTAATACACACAAAATATTTGGCCTGATTATGGTTACAGCCAGTTGACTACTTTTGATAGGGCGCCATTACTTCTCAACGGCACTTTTACACCAGTATAGAGCAACCGACGTCTTTTTTACTCACTGCTGTATTAGGCTTCGTGAATAGCGCTCTGTCTAAGATCACGCTCAATTATTCCTTGACCCTTTCAGAGAGCTCAAATGAAACGTCACCGAACGAAGGAAGCCCAATATTATCCACTTCATACCTCCTTCGAGCTTACTTAGGGATTTTACTATCGACCTGGGTAAAAAGTCCCCATCTATATTGAAGAAAGACGCCTTTACAAAGTCTGTATTCGCAATTTCCAATGTTCTTCGATTGCTAAGAAGACAGTCGATAGTGAAATTAAGAATTTTTCAATAACCAATGAGCAATTAAAATCTGAGTTTTTTAAATGGGGATACCAAATCGAGTCAGAGCTTATTTGGCTTCTCGGTCAATTTTGAATACTTCTACATAAATTATACTTGTAAGTGGATCGAGAAACAGCGGCAATGTCAGGCTAGCAGGGCAGCGCAGCATCAATGACGTTGTTTTTTTGTTTAGGTAAGTCCGCCACTCTGGCCGAGGAATTTAGTGCACCCGTACATCGCTCTTAACCATTTTTGCGCACAACTCCTTGGTGCAGGATGGAAGGTTATTCTTAACTACCCCACCTTCACAATGCTGAACTTTAAAAGCCTAAGCGTGCAAATTAGAGAAGACCCTGAGGCGGCCATCAACTGCCTTCACATTTTGTGCACGCTTGTGAACACTGTGTTGGCCCACTTTCAGCAAGTGGTTCATTGAATGCAAGCTAATCCTGCCCAACCCACGGGACGGCTTCTAGGCATTTCTTCATTGAAGAAAGAAGGTGCTTAAATTCCGCCGATATGTGTGTGCGCGCGCACGTACACTTATGATCGGACGTGATGTAATTATAAACGCTACTTCACTTACAGCCTTCCGGTCATCTAAAGCATTACACATCATCTCGCCCAAATTTTAAATAATTTAAATTCACTTGCAGAAGCTTTGCGTTCACTATCTCAGCCACGCACAACGGACAAATGCGTCATTTCCTCGTCTACGGTTGCGTATGCAAATACATATATTTGAAAGCAATTGCTTAAAAGCTGCTCAGAGGATGTTTTAAATCCTCTAGCTGGACATTGTTTTATCTGTTGTGATTGTATTTATGTTAAGTTTGGTAGTTTTAATCACTACGGTCGCTCGCTTCACACAGCCGCTATCTGAGCCATTGCGTTTTCCAAAAGGTATCTGGCCCCATATATTCTTCTTTCCATAGAAGTAAAACCAATTCCTTGTTCTGAATTACCTAAAAAGCAAAAAACAATAATAATCACATGATCAAATCTAATTAGCAGCAGAATAGCTGCCCTCGATTGTAGTTGGGTTGGCATACGGAAAAGTGGAAAAGGCAGCAATAGTTTATAAGGCGAACTTAGCACAGTGGGTAGGCCACTGCGGCGATAAAGAGTGACCCGTGATAACCCCGAAACTAAAAACTTTAGGTCTAATTTGGAGCTACCAATGTACATAAATGGGCCTAGAGTCAGCATACAGATCCAACTCTAGGTTCCCTTCCCATTCGCGTCTAGCGGAAATTTTTGCATGGATATAATTCTTTGGAGCAAGTGACGTACTGTGTAATCTGAGTACCTAAATTTTGTTTGCCTCCGAAATTTTAGTTTCCCATAAAAGTCCAAGGGGTGAAAATCGAAACAAGGACCCTAGGGCTCTTGCCACCGTTGGAGGTAGAGTTCCCCAATAGTGTAAAACAAAATGGAACTTCAACCATTTTTGCCCTACATCAAATACTTGACTTCCTCGGAGAGAGTCAGCGTAATATTATTTACCGTAGTGAGCTTCAGCTGGACAAATTGTTTTCTTAGACGCATAAGGCGCTATGTACCTATAACTTAAAACTGTAAGAGCAGGACATTCACAGTTAAGATTCATAGGGGTGAAGAGAGAACCCACGCAAAGGTCGTACTTGTTGTTGAATATCTTGTTGCGGACACCTGTGTATCCCAATTTCGAGTACTTATCTAGTTCTAAGAGAATACAAATAAATTATATCAGAGGAGGATCTGTACGCCGGAATATGCCCCCAAGTTTTGATGATTTGTTTTTAATATCGACAGCTAAATGACTTAACAGAATTGCTTATTCCTGTACGCGCTAAAGCGATTCTATTATGACCTCAGATTTTCGCAATTCAAACTTATTTTCCCGGAGTCGTTTGGTCTGTCGAGAGTATAGGCATTAGGGTGGTCCTTAAAATATCAACATCTGAATTTTGTAATGGGCACCCTATATTTTATCATACGTACAAAATAAACACATGCATGAAATTTTCAGATTTTTCACTGCCAGGGTTGAAAAAGTTTAATTTTTTTTTTCGCAAAATTTGAAAAAAAAAACTTTTGTCTTGAGCGCCCGGTTTCACCAATCAATTTTGGAATTTATCAGTCTGTTAAAATTTAAAATTGTAAAATTTTCAAACAAAATTGTGAAATTTTAAATCTTAAAAGTCTGATAAATTTAAAATTTATTGATAAAACCAGGCATAAATCCGACAAATATTACATACTAGATCGCCCTCACCGGCTTCGCAGAGTGTATGAAATTTCTGCGTGTAATTTTAAACTATGCCAAAAAGAGTAGATTTTCAATTTTTTCACTATCGTCAAATATTTGCAACTAAAACTTAAGTCTCTTTTTTGTGATACTTTTTCAATTAGCTTATCCCCTGCATTCAACTGGAGATTTAAAACAAGTGACAACCCCCTAACATGTAGTTTAGAAATGAAGCCCATATTGTAATTAAACGGGTAGAGGCCCGGGACATAAAAATTTAGGAAATCAACCGTATTCTTTAACCATTTAAAACGTGTACTTTATTCTACTAGAATTCAATGGGCTACAAAACTGTATACTCAGAATCCTACTAGGAAATGTTATTAAAAAAGTTTGAAATTTTTACGAAAGTTTGTTGAATTTTTTTTTTTTAATATTGCACAAAGTTTTTCAACTGGATTTACATGGGTTTTG